GGCTGTGATAAAGTAAAATATAGCATGTTGAGTGATAGATTAACTATTCACAATTTGCATTACGTGACCCGAAATAGCTAAATATACCAGGACTAAAAACACGAAACATATTGATGATACGTTGAAAATAGTGACTGTAACATTAACAACATTAACCATGAATCGACCGGTGATTCAAATCTGATTAATTACTCGCGTGTATTTGATGTTGAAGTCTAGGTCAAAGTGTTATTTTCGTTTTTGCAATTTATAATTTACTCATTTTGTTCATTTGATCAAGTAGGTAACACGTAGTGAAGAGAGGACCACATATCAACAGTTTTTCATTTTTTTTTTTAATTCACGAAACTAATAGTTTTTGGAAATATTCAAAAGTGCCCATGGTACCTTTGAAAAAAAGTTAGAAACTATAAAAAATGAAACGAAAACTGTAACTGCAGTGAAAAATTGTCTTGATAACAATTAGTATTACTATGACCATATCATCTATTCTTTAAAATAATGGAAGTTCACACTGAATTATTTTGTCGTGTTCCTATAGTACGAACAATTTCTCTTGTCATAAAACTACAAAAAAATGTTTAGAGTCTAGAACAATCTATAAAAAATACGCTAAGAAAGATTTATTACTCCATAAAGAAACCTCCCTCCGAAACTGTGACGCTGTCAAAATATACTCATAAAAGTCGAAATAAATATTCTCATTTCGATATATTTTCTACCCCTGCGTGTATGGAAAATCATGAAAAGAAAAGAAAATACCACTGAGGAGTTTCCCTGCGACAAGTCCAAACTATAATCCCTGCCTTCTCTTAATACAAGACAAATTTGTTAGAGAATTTTTAAATTAATTTACTAAGGGCTAGTTTATACCAAATTTTAACTGAGATTAAGTTAATCACGCATTTAATGAGGCGTTTGGCGACGCATGATTGGCGTCCTGTGGTACTTTAAAAAATTAATCGCAGTCAAATATTTAATTGAGCTTCTGTAAACCGGGTCTAAATTTTGTAATAATCCACTTAACTTCGCACAAAGACAAAGTAAATTTCGCTAAATCACACACATAAATTAAACACTCAATCGTGAATACTTTTATTATTGCGATAATTGAGGACTAAATAAAGATAAACTTTTTCTTTGAAAAATTTGGTGTAAAATAAAGAACGAACAAAATTCATAATTATTTAAATCACATGTAAGAACTCCATGTATCAAAATGAAATCGCCAACCAACATAATCATGAACGGTAGTCGTAAAATACCTGTTATTGTACCACAGATTTTTATAGTATACAAATTGCTTAATTTTCTAATCTTAGGTTCCGGCAAAGTATTTATGGTCGATTTTTTACAAGCTGAAAGATGGCATTTTTAACCAGCGTTCTGCAATCTGCTTGAATTGGATAATATATTTCAGTAGTTATTTTTGTTTATTTCAATGTATTTTTTTCGTAATTACATACTTCGAAATATAAACAAATTAAAATGTTTGTAAACGGAAGTTCCTGTACCACAAGCAATACAGTCTGCGAAAGTCCACTTTAATCTTGAATACACAAATAATTTTTATACTTTTACCGCATTGTATGGAAATTTCTGTCGCCATAATTTAGGCTTAAAAGTGACCCGGTCAATTACAAAAAAAAAAAAAAAAAACAAATCCTTACTAAATGTCGCTAATTTAATGCATGTCGAACATTATTTCCAAAAATGATTACACGTATACTCACTGAAATTCCAAAACGAAACGACACATTGAAATATGTTTTATTCTGTACACTAATGGCGATCATAAACAAAACTTTGTCAAACTCCATCGTAACTCGTTCATGTTAATCACATAATTTTGCATTCCAGGATAAATTGAAATTTTACCAAGTAAACAAACTACAGGTTTATTAAAAATAACACACAAACTAGATATCTGACAAGTATCAACTTGTCGTCGTTAAGCACCGTCTATCATAAAATCAACAGTAAATGTGAAAAAGTCGAGATGTGAATAAACATTTTGTATGTTTACATACAAACAGAAATATTAATAAGAATATATTTAATGTTGTTTTAAGTTGAGGACTTAACACAAACATTAATTAAAACTAAAAAAAATAGTTATTAAGAAACCTATAAATTCCAAAGAGGAAGATTAGTAAAAATCAAATAAAACACAAACTAAGTCATATTATGACAAATAATAACAAAGAAACTATTCTAATGAGTAGTTTTCAGTAAAAAAGAAGCGAACAAACAACACCATATTATGTGTTAATAGTTTAATTATAACAATAACATAGCTCCTTTACATCTGTCTGCTTTCCAATGACATTTTAATGGACAACGTGATCATCAAATACTGTTTGAGTTGGCAATAACTACGTTTTAGAAATTCTTCTTGTGTTACTATTGCCAAACCTGATCCAAACGCTTGGCGATATGTCATGCACTTTGAAGGTGTCAAGGTTACTGCATTTTAATGATAATCAATGACAAATTTTGATTTCAATTGAATGTCACTGTCAACTATGCCAATTTTGACAATAGGAAGTAAGATGGGGGTGACAGTTCTACCAATTTCAAGCAAAATTTGTTCATATTAACTGAAACATTTATGAAAAACTACAAATCTTATTATGTATTGATTTTTATTCTGCCAAGATGTTATCCAGTATTCGGAAAATATGTGCATGTGGCATATAGTTTTTTTTTCATAGTCTCACGAAACTATAAACGTACCAATATTTTTAGATTCATTAATTCTAGTTCACTCACGGTGGTTAACTTTAACAAATGAATATTTATCATATTGTCTCATGGTCAATACCTAAAGAAAGCTGCGTTGTTCTAATCAGATCATAATCCATAATGACATTTTGTACATTGAACAAATATAATAAGCAATTACCGTCTCCTAGTTCGTAACGAGTAGCTGGCAGTAGGTGGCTTGTTTCAACTTCAATACATTCAGAATGGTTTTGATTAAATTTTTCCACTACATTTCCATTTTGAGATATAAAGCTTTCAGAATTATGTTGAACCTGAAATTACGCATTAACTATTTCGAACTTGTAAAAATTGTCACTCCTACTTCTCTTTAGTTTTTGTTCTTCAGGGTTATAATTAAATAAATAGGTAAAAATTGAAAATAAATTTTATCTGGACTAACACTTTTACAGCATTCTTTCTAGTAGTTCCCTTATATAAAGTCATAATGTACATTGCATACTAAGAACGTAGTGTTATTATTATTACTAAGGAGTTGTTAACTCGAATATTCGTAATGTAATAAAATAATTAGAAACGAAGCTGTCTTCCTACGACGTCAAACAAAATGTACCTCATCATTTGCTCAACCAGTTAAGTAACCTAAGTAGGGTAGGGCTATCCTGATTAAATGAAAACTGCGGGGGCTGCAATAGTTTCGCTAATTTACGGCTCTCTCGAAATTAAAACCTACAAGTTCGTGATGCAGGTACTCGTTCAGACGATGTTCTTTAATTTACCGCTTGGACTCGGCAAGATAAGTGATCTTTACCGTAGATTGAACAAATTACAACATTTCAACGAGCATCGAAGAAAAACGACCTACATGTCTAGGTTGAGAAATTAAACATGGACTGCAGCAACAGATTGATTTCATTTCCCGAGAAGCTGCAACTTAACCGCTATATTTTTGTAAATGTCACTTAATACTGAATTCTAGTGGATAAATGGCCATCAACGAAATGCCAGGCTTTACTGACATTATACTTAACTGTTGCAGAAATGTCAACGACCCACACTTTTTACGGTAGATAATTCTAAATTAGAAAAAAAGATAACTGTTCGACAGTTGCATTGCTTTAAAAGTCGCACCTTTACACAGCATCACCTCACCCACTTAAAAAAGCCGGACGCATAACAATCCCGTCTAATACTGTTAGAAACTAATTAAAAAAAAAAACTTCCGATTCTGCACAACAAGAAGTTATTTTCAATCAATTTATTGTTGAGATACGTTTAATTAAAACTTCTATAATTAAATTCCATTAGCTTCGCCACAAACACAAGTGTAGCTACTTGATGCACTTATTCCTGTCTAAACAGTTTTAAAAGCTCCGAAGTCAACACGATGATGTTTACAACTTATTTCTTAAAAACAACTACTGTACGTTTGATGATAATTATTGTGTGATTAAACAAAAATCAGACGAAGACAAAATGCACACGATAACGATTTGTTTAAGTTTCACCATTAGATTACTATTAAGCAGCTTGTTAAAAATTTTTTGTTTGACAAAAAAATTGATGTTTTTAAATTTTTCAGGATAAATTAATCCATACAAGCGGAATAAAATGAGTTAAAAACCGCAATAACGACTCTGAGATTAAATCAGTTTAAGCATCATTATATTACATTAAAATACGTTTATTGAAAAGTGAAACTGCATAAAAAGTAGTTACCAAACAATGATCACGATTACAAAATTTGCGATACGAGTAACAAATCAATTCCCCATACGACTTGCACTCTTCCATAGGTACTTTCTCTGGAACTACGACTGACACTTAACCCGCATTCAACGAACAATTTTTTTAATCACTCCCTGTTAGATTGCTGTAATTCTGTCACTAGTGTATACAATATTATATTACAGAAAAGAATTTAATGAGTGTTATTTTTCTGTAAACATACAAATTGAGGACAATAATGTTTTTATTATTAGCTACAGAAACAACATCAAGTCAACAAAAGCTCCAAGCTAACGTTATTGGCTACTTAATCACTGGTAAAAGAAGTCCAATAAAATTACCAGCGAACAAAACATACAAGGCTAAACACGATTATCGCATCACCGTAAAAATGTAATAAAATGCAACTAAACATAAAAAACGTTTTTTCCGTTATTCTATCAAGTAACTTTTATAAATATCACTACCTACTATCTTTTTTTTGTACTTAGATCTAGTGCTCTGCACACCCTCACACTATCAATGAAAAAAATGTTATCAAAACTCACCTTTCTGTTCTATTGTAAACTACATGGTTCGAATCATTCATAGCCACCGTAGTCGCCATTATGAAGTCTGTATCCGTAAAAACAACAGGTTCATCCGGCAGGTCGACTTCTTGAGGTTTCGACTGTTGAAAGAACGTCACTCGTACTTTTTCTCGTTCGGTTCTGGAATAAGAGCACGATCAATTGCTATTTCTCAAATAAAACATCACAGCTGCTAATGGAAATGGATTTAATTGGACTCTGGAGATGCCTGAATCCCAAAAGGGAGAAGCAAGTGTGGAGGAACGTAATTAATTCAATAAACGTACTCACTTAAATGACATTTAGATAAAGAACGATGCAATTCCTTTTAAGGTATGGCAGGAAGGAAGAGTCGAAAAAATTCAAGGCGCATCTAACATTAAAAACTGATTATATAATAACTTTCATGCGTTAGATGAATATAATTTACGTTCCTACTCCAATCGACCTCATAAAAAATTTCAAGACTCGATCAAGGAAATAAGCCATCAGAATGATGGCAATATCAAAAAGCACCGATTTTATCGTGGGTTTAAGTTATATATACATTTTGCAAACTGGAAGAAGTGTTCTTTTAAATAAGTATACTGTTAGTATTATCATTGAATTAAGTTTTTTTTTATTTAGATATACATAATTTCTTTATACAAGTTATTTCAGTACGTGGTGATAATTTTCCTCCCTTATACCGTGCTTTTGACAACTTTCTTTTATTTTATTTTTCTTTGTTACTTTATAATTTGCTTATGCACGTTATTTCAATACTAACGACTTTTTCTATTTACAACCAGTTCTACTGATATTTGACGGAATCCAAAAATTATACACGTGGATTATGTATAAGGGTCAAAATCCAATTCATTTTTTAAATATTTCCTGTGCATTCAATGCGCGAACACGCAACATAAATTTTAATTTTATTGACGACTTCAATATCTGTGCCAACCACGTTGATTATTATTTTTCCAGCCTAATAAATCCTTTACATGCATCAACGATAAATTAAATTTTTCAACTTACCCACTAAATTGTTATGATATTTATAAAAACATTAAAATATTTGGGTCAATAATAACTGTTAAAAACTAGAGGAATTTTGTGATCGTATCATATCCAGCAACTTTAATTAGACTGTTGGCAACGTTATTTATTTAACGTTTAAAAGGAAAAGTTCATTTCACTGTGATTAAATTCTCTACTTGCGGAACTACATTTTTATGGTATTGCTTATAAATATTGTAACTTTTGCTAGTAAATTATTAAGTAAAAGAAAACACTGATCTATCCAGTATTTAGCTGAATATTGAATTTAAATCAAAAGAAAAACTACACAAAAATTTTAATTCTGAATTCCACATATTACAAACAACAAAGAAAGGAACCTAATGTCTGAAACATTCAAACAAAGTAAGAATGATAGCAGTTAAGTTTTGCATTCTTAGTGGAACACTAACAACTCATAGAAGAAAATACGTTAGAAGTGTCAAAATAGCGACACAAAATACTTCCTGTCTAAAAATTACCGATATTCGTTTACCCTAATTTTTTCCAAAGAAAACTGATTTTGTTACAGTCTTCAAGTTTTGAAAGGTTGTATATGGTTTGTTATGAAATACAAATGGACTTTCTGAATTCTACAACCTTTGCGTGATAAAGTTGATATCGCAAAAATCCACATTCCAACGAATGAATAAATTGAGGTCAAATTTTGTACCATTCAAACATTATTGTGTCTAATGTACCCTAGAACCATATTTTCGATTTTTACTTAAAATGCAGGAGAATGGTAGATGCTAGCCAGTACTGGTATATAATTATGCAGTGTACATGAGTTTTTAAATTAAAATGGTTTAAAATTATTATTTTAAGCGAACAGCTTGCATAGATCATTTTCAACGAACTTTGTTAATGCAAATTAAGTTGAACATACTTAGGTGTACTTTTTGAAAAAAATAAAGTTAACTAATGTACTAAAAAAAGTCTCTGACATTCGTTATCTGCATATATTTAACTGAAACTATAATGTTGTCGTCTCGTCTGTTATCATTATTCTATTGTGACTTTTATGTTTATATATTTTTCGAGAACTTCCTTTATATTAGTAGAAGAATAAAGATTACTGAAGATTAAATGAAATGTTATTAAATTAACTAATAATATAAAAAAGAAGAAAAATATTTCATTGCAGATGCGAAGGCAACAAAAAGATGAATTTACGAATTACATTAAAAACCAAGAAAAATAGCTACCAACAAAAATTGGTCGAAGCTTATTTGGATAGAACTCTCCCTTGAAGTGTAGTTCCACAAATCCCACTTCTTTAAAGTGAAGAACCACCAATGAAGCAAGTAACACCCCCTTTCTCCTAAATTTCGACACTATGAAATATATTTAAAGCACGTTCAAATTACAAGCAGCAGCGTTTAAAAGAAAATGAAATTTGATTAATTTTCTCTCGTCAACACAGAGGAGGGGACTAATTAATCAAGTAATTAACCACACTCAGTTTTTTTTTTTTTAAAAACACTTATAAATTTGAAGGACACACATTCAGCAAAACCGTAAGATAACGGGAAACTTTGATTAACGATTTACCGTGTTTGCAATAACCTTAAAATATTTGCAATATTGCACAGCATTCAATCTCAAAGTTTAATAGTGAAATACTGGTTATATAATTTTGATTTTTTCCCTCAAAATCTGGATGCAAAGGGATAAAAATCTGCAGAACTATGTAGCTCTACAAAATTTGAAAAACATTTATTCGGCAAAATTATAAAATGACGTTATCAATTCTTAAGGAGCATTGACGAAAAAATTTTGATTAACGATTTATCATGCCTACGATAAACTTAAAACGTTTGCAAAATTTCAAAGCATTCGGTTTTCCAATTTCATTGTCAAATTGCAAAATGTTATACAATTTTGATTTTTTTCTAAATTCTGGAGGTCTAAGGTCAAAACTCAACACGGATTCATGAATCACATGTGGAGGAGTGTCGTATTTTATAAAACTTCCATAATATTTATTACCCTAAATTTTAATTTCCTGTTAATGGTAAGAATGAGCAGCCAAATTTTGATTAGCGTTTTACCATTTACACGACATTCCCAATACATATAAAATTTTAGAACGATCGGTCCACTAGTTTCTGAGATTATCTAACTAATAAAAATCCGCTCAGACAGACGGAAGGAAACGAGAGACCTATTTTTTCGTACTCTTAATGGTCATGAAACGTCGAGAAAACATAAAAGTAATTAGTCGTCCAATGAACTCGATTTTAGCTTACGCTCAGGAAGTAAAAATTGCTTGAAGGTTACGTAGACAGAACAAAATTTTGTGATGACATCATCAACATTTTAGCAAGAACATATCAATTTGAATAGATGCAGCATAATGCTAATGATAACAGTACCTACTGTATTCTCAAATTTTCTGGTAAATAGGGTGAACGGTGAACCGTTCTTAGTTTGATCAATAAAAAAGTGCCGGGACTGGAACTGCGGGTGTTTAATTTGCAAAGTGAACGCTCTACAATTGAGCCAAACCCCAGTTTCCAATGCTTGGTATTAAGATGTATCGCAACAGAACATATTTACTATTAAAAACATTAAACAATAAAAGTTATAATAATAATAATAATAATAATAAGTAAAATCAAAATGGATTCATAAACCACAAGTGTAGGGTCATGCAATTTTATAAAATTTAAATAGCATTTACTATGCAAAATTTTGAACTGACGTCATCAAATTGTTGGGGATAGGCAGACAAATTTTGGTTACCATTTTATGATATTCTTAGCGTTCATATAAAATTACGGACGGAAGGAAATGGGAGACCTATTTTTTCATACTGGCAATGAAACCTCGAAAAACTATTGTAATTGTTGGACTGCGCTCGGGAAATAAAATGGATTAATCCGTCAAAGTGCAACGATGATGCTTGCACTAACGACATATTCTAATTTGCACAAAAGGTCAATTGGCACAGACTCAAAATCAGAAAACATGAATGAATAAAAATTGCAAAAGGAAACAATATGAATGCATATTCTAGAAACAGAACGAAAAATCTATGCAACCTGGCAGTATAAAAGGTGTAACGGAAAAATAAACGAGATCTATTCATTTTCATGATTCACAGGGTCTATGTATAAACATAAACGTGTTTATTTAAAAATAAATATTCTCACGTAAGTACATTTGCACAATGCACATCATCACTTGCCACAACAAATCGTTTATCCTTGACAAAGACGCAAAACAAAATTCCAAATAAATAAATTAAATTAAATTTTTTATTAAAAATTAAAAAGGTGTGAACTACCCGGGACACATTTCCTGTAATTACTTAGTTACCACACCTCACACTGAGCAAGTAACGATCTATAATTTAGAATCGATGCCCAATAGCAATGACGGTATTTTGTATAGCTACATGCACATGCTCTTTCAGTGGACATTATTGTATGTTACAACAATTTGCACAACAGAAAATAATGCAGTTAGATTGGGTAAAAACATACCTGTGCGCTTCCATCACGATAACGGCAAACTGAATAATATTGCTGGCAATTCGTGTTTACATACCGGCAAAATAATGGATGTAGTTAAAATTTACATTACACAACAACCGGGTCAGTGGTGATAGTGCACCGGCAATATTTACATGCAACTAAAAAAAAAGGAAAACACGGACAGATTTATTTATTTTTAGAACAAGCCGAAAAAAGTTTTACGGCCAAATATCAACAAGCAACAAAATGTTGACGTAGAGTCGGCAATTTGCCAAGAAACGGGCGTAACCGCAGAATAAATAGACCCACACAAAAACGACGAAACCCATTTTTTAAAAGTTTTAAACACTTCCAATTGCCTCGCAATAATCTACCCATAAATCATAAAAGTAAAACAAACCTATGTTATCTACTTTGCCCAATAACCATAACTTTAATCCCACTTTTTCGCAATGGTAATCGTCTGACGAGTTTTACAAAACTGGCTTCGCTACATTCATCTGATTGTATGAAACAGCTATGACGTCAGCTGTATTTTAGCCTGTTTTTAAGCGGCCCCCACGAGATACAAGTGTAATTCGCAAGATTGTGTAAAGAGTGGGTGTGCTGATACTCGCC